AGTAGCTGCGGAAAGATTGTTTGTCATTATTAGGGGAAGGTGAGGTGGGGGTAAGCAAGACTAAAACATACCCAGGTGTTAGTTGTGCCCTAGATTTAAAAACACTGCCCATCAAGCTCGCTGCAGGGATTCCACGCTGAAACCTCTCTAGCAGGTGCACCATTTCGAACTTAACCACTTCTCAAGTACTATCCATGTGCTATCTGCTGTAGCTTGATACCTTAATAGTTATCATTATTCTAATGTTTGTAGCCATCTTAAAATCCCATTCTGTATTCTGATGACTGAAAAATTATATGCTCATGTGAAAGTAGCCTAATTTTACTATGCTAAAGATATTTTTTCAAGCAGTACAAAAGTACTTAACATAGAGTTCACTTATTCCTCTTGAAAGTCACTTAAAAAACTTCATGGGAAATATGTGGGCTTTTTTTGTATGTAGATTCAAGTATGTTTATTCCAGTCTGTACCTGAGACAAGAGCTCTAGACCTGATACCATGTCTTTGCATTTAGGAGTTGCTCTTGTTGTGTTGAAAATGAGGTTTATATAGAAGTATGTTCAATATCTAATCATCAACTTTTATAACAAAAACTCATATTTGTTTACATAAAGGAAACCAGCTAGAGACATTTAATCACAAGCCCGATAATGAGTTGTATTTTTTATTAAAATAAATAAGTTGTAAACTAAACAACACTCTTCCAATTATGTAATGATGACACTGCAATTGGTTAGAAGAATTCAGTATTACACTAAAATTTGGTTGAGAATATCATGTGACATAATGTCTCCTGAATAATAGCATTATCACAGTAGAAAAAATCACTCCATTTCGATCACCTGAATCATAGCAAAGTAGAACATCCCCTCAGAATGATATTATTGTTCTTTTGTTTACATTATTTAGTGGAAAGATATTTAATACATGTCAACTTTTAGTTTCCCTCATTATTATCATGCATTTCTTTTCAAATCACTTGTATTAATAAAGCTAAAACCCTCTTCCAACTTGATATCAGTCTTGGAATTCACGGGTATCTCAACACCTCCACTTTGCCTTAGTGTTCATTGAGAAAGTAGGTGTTTACACTGATCTCCTAATGTTAAAACACAAGGTATGTTCGCAGCCACGCACCCAGAACCCCTCTGTATTCATTTCTTGGTCAAAAATATTACCACTTAGTTCCATTTATTTTTGGTGTGGAGGGAGTTTCCACGTTGGGATGCTCATTAATATTTAATAACTTATGGAAATAGATTTGTTTATGGTGATCATGCATTTTTATTTTCATTGTTGCAGAATGTTTACCGGTTTATAGCATGAGATATTGTTTATGCTTTCATTTTTGGGTTGTCAGAAATTTTTCTAATCAAACATAATCATAAACAACCACCTTGATTTCACAGTTATCTCATTGTTCTGAGTGGTAGCAAGGGGCAGGTGTTAAAATCCTTCAGATATTGCCGTAAGCCTAAAATTGGTAGATTCCCTAAATAAATTTGAGAGGAATTCATCCTAGTTTCCACCTTTCTGGAAAAATACTAGCTTCTTCTGATAAATGATAAATAGTCTCAAATTCAGATCTGTAAATATAATTTTACATATTACCCACAAACAAACAAAAAAGAAACAAAAGTAACATTAAAAACACCTCAACTGTTTTCCTTGAGATAATTCATATAGTATTTGTCATTAAAAAATGGCATTACAACATTCCAAAGTTGATTGCTTGGTTTCCTGGATTCCTCTTGATTAAACTCTTAGAAAGAAAAAGGAATTAACATGTATTAGCATCTTCACTGTGCCAAGCAGTGTACTTTTGATCATTTGTTGAGAGGCAGTGTAGCAAGGTGGTTAAGATCAGTATTGAATTTGCATCTTTCGTTGCACCTATACTTGCTAGTTGACCTTGATTGTTTTCGTTAATTTCTCTATGCTTCACTTTTCTCTTTGGTGAAATGAATGAAATTCCAGGATCTACCTCTTAGGGTAGTTGTGGGGGATACACTAAGTTCATGTAAGGAAAGCCCTTGGAGCGCTGTTTTGCATGGAGTAGGCACTCAATATAGAGGCACTATACCAAATCTCACAGCACCGGCCGGTTTGGCTCAGCGGTTAGAGCGTTGGCCTGCGGTACAGAGAGACCCGGGTTCGGTTCCCGCTAAGGGCGCGTACCTCGGTTGCAGTTTGTCCCTGGGCCTGGTGGGTCGTGCAGGTGGCAACCACTCGATGTGTCCCTTTCACATCGATGTTTCTCTCTCTCTCTGTTCCTCTTCCCACTCTACCTGAACAAAAAATAGAAAAATGTCCTCCAGTGAGGATTAAAAAAAAATCTCACAGAGTGAGGTGCTAATCTCCCCATTTCACTGATGGGCAAACTAGGGTTTAGAGTTGAAGCAATTTATGTGGAAACGACACAGGAAGTCATACTTTAAAATAAAGAGCTTTTATTATTAAATTATGTTGAGACTTTTTTCCATTCTAAGCACATATTGATAGCTTTCCCTCTGCATACTTAATGGAAAAAAAAAAAATCTATGTTAGTTGCCCATATTCCTTAGACTAGATATAGTCACTTTAAATCTGATAACTGCAAAGGGGATTGCTGCAACACATAATAAAGTCCCCCAGTTTAGAGTGTGTGTGTGTGTGTGTGTAAAGGGTGGGCACAGAAGACGTATTGTTGCAAAACTTATGCATGAAGAATAAGAATGTTAACATGTCTTTGAATTAGAAAATCATAGAAGAGAGCCCGAGGAAAACTGTGATTCAGTGGAAACACTGTGACCCCACTGAAGATCACATTAAAATTTACAAAGGCAAAATTAAATAAACTAGATAATTCTTCAAGTCATAAAACACTAGAGTCAATTAATAGGTTTTCTAAGAGTACAGGTAAAACACAGGGCTTTGACTGTGAATAATGACTCTAGAAATCTTCTACCAACATCATAGCATTCACTGATGAATGTACACATAGATCTTAAGGGCATCATGGAACACTTTTAGATTCAATATTTTAAAATGGGCTGTCCATTTTTCTTATTTTTGCAATAAACTTTACCTCCATACCAGACACAGATGGTTATACCTTATGTGCAGTTTGCTCTAGAACCTATTGATAAATAGTAGGGAAATTTTTAAAAGCCCCTGAAGTAAGTAGACTATTTTTGGGGTCCAAGTTCACTTAATGACTGCGAACCTTACATAAGGTATTTTTTTTCTGAGACTAAGCTTTATTGTTATTTACATTTTAAAAATCATGTTAACAGTTATTACTTCATTACATTCTCTCAGATATCCTGTGGAATAATTTGGCAATCACTAGAATCCCTATTTTACAGTCCGATTTCATTGGGTCAAACAGAACAGCATGGGCTTGGAACTAATAAAAATTGCTACTATTTACTCAACACAGTTCTAAATATTGTCTGTCCATTTATTATTATTATTTTTTTATCCTCACCCGAGGACATTTTTCCATTCTTTGTTCAGGTAGAGTGAGAGGGAGAGAGAGGAACACAGAGAGAGAGAGAAACATCGATGTGAAAGGAACACATCGAGTGGCTGCCACCCACACAACCAACCAGGGCCGGGGAAAAACTGCAACAGAGGCACATGCCCTTAGCGGGAACCGAACCTGGGTCTCTCAGGACTGCAGGCCGATGCTCTAACCACTGAGCAAAACCGGCCAGGGCTGTCCATTTATTATTTAATGACAACAACAAACGGATGAAGTGATAGTAACCTATCCATTTTACAGATGAAGTAACTGAGTATCTTAAGGTTATGTGTCTTATCCATGATCAAAGCTAATAAATGGCAGAGATAGAATTCAAGCCCAGACAAACTAATTCTAGTTTCCACACATTTAATCACTTGACCACACTGCCTTTCTGAATGCAATAAAATAATAAAATTTGTGGTTCCTGCCTTCAAGTTATTTAGAATCTTTTACAAAAGCAGTGAAAGTATACACAGGCTTAATATGGGAATGAGTTCTGGTTTCTTTGGAAGGAAATGAATGTTGCATTTGAAATGTATATTATTTCAGTACTCTTGAGTTTGTCTAGTTGTTACAGTCTTGCTTTATAGGGCCTAGAGGCAGAAAATAGCCTTACCTTATAGCTTTTGAGGCTGAAGCTATTAGGTTTGTGGTGCTGAAATAAATATGTCTGCTGTTTCTGTTCTAAGACTAACCCAGGCTAGGAATATAATAGGGTTAGAAATTTAAATGTCCATAGGACTCAAACTATAATTTAAAGCCACACACTTTGTTTGGACTTCTCTACCACCTATTCTGCAAGTTCCCTGAGAGTTAACTCCTTTCTCACCAAAGTCAGCAATGCCTACTGGGCATGCCCAGTGATCATTAGAGCCTGTAAACAGTTTGACTCACTCCAGGTTTTACCAGCTGCAAAAGAAAGGAGACAAAGGGAAGAGTTAAACAGGTACAGAACTTGGATCAGCTCAGGATGCCCACGGCCAGGGCAGGGCACTGAAAGCTGGCGGATGATGAGATGCGGCCAGGAGAAGCACCTTGTAAGGCAGACTTAAGTCTGGTTGGTCTTCAAGGTAGTTGCTGCGTTAGACTGGTGGGTCTCTCTCACGTCTTTTTGGCACACCCTAAGCAGATCGTGAAGGTGCGAAGTGATCGCTCTGGCCACGGTGGGCAGGAAGTTGGATCTGGGGGAATGCCAACGACGGTGTGTCTTGCGTGTTTCTGCATTACTGGAAGGGCTGCAGCTTCCAGGGGTTCTAAGCAGGAGAGCAAAGTGAACAAGTGAAACCGGAGCTCATCTTAAATACTGACTTCTTGGCCCCTTTCTTTTGGCTGCCCAGCGCTTCCCTGAAACACTCTCAGGTACCCTCGCCCAATCACGACTAAACCCTGGAGAAGTGAAATCTTCACATAGCTTTCTGTGGGTCTAGCAGGGGCCTGGGCATGCTCAGTAGGCTACTTGGTTCTCTGGTGTTCGTTCTCTCTCTCTCTTTCTCTCTCTCTCTCTCTCTCTCTCTCTCTCTCTCTCTCTCGGAGGGTGGGTGGTGACAAGTTAGAAGCGCTTGCGGCAGGTCCCCGCCCCCTGGGTCGGCCTCCCCCTGCAAGGGGATGAAGCAAAGGTACGCAGCATCCTGACCTGGAGCTGGAGGGGCTGCGCCCGCGGTCGGACCCCACCAGCATCGCAGCTTGAGGACGGCCCGCCGCTCTCCACGGTACTGCGGAGAGCTCAGCTCCGCCCTTCTCTTTCAGAAGGACAGCACTCCGCGTCACGTAACCCAGCCTTCTCGGGCTCCACCACCGCCTCCTCCTTCCCAGCTCTTTTCCTCTCCTCCTCCTCCTTCTGCTCCCCTCCGTTGCCTGTTCTTCCCTCCCGCACTCCTGGAGATAGACGCTCAAGCCTGACGCCTCTGAAAAGGCAGCGGCAGTCGCCTTATCCACAGACCTCAGGAAATTCGCTTTGACCGATGCATGCTTCAGGCTCAGGCTCGAGCTAAGGGGAATAACCGGGCAGGTAAAGAAGCTCTATTTGGGTTGGGGGGAGGGGATGGGGCGAGGCAAGCTGGAGAAGGATCTTTCCCGTTGTAACTGAGCCAGAATCTGCTACAACTGCACAGGGAAGGATGGGTGGTAGGAGGGTGGAGGAGTATAGATCCTGGTTGTTTTGCATGCAGCTTTTTAAATAGATGGCAAGAAGATGAGATGGTGGAACTGGAGTAGTAACTTAAAGGCTGAATGCAGTGATTTATTAGCAAAAGAAAGAAAACAGGCAAGTTAGAAACCAAAGCAATAACATGTATCTATTATCTACATCTGTCTTTCTCTTCCTCATCAACCGCATGCTGTGCCTATCTTTAATTTCTGTAGTCGACTCCAGGATCCAAGAAACTGCACTAGTATTAGAGATGGAGCTTAGAGACTGGGCGGGAAAGCCAGGGAGAATTTTGGGTGTGCATTGGTATTGATGGACTTTGCAAAAGCCGGGGCGGGGGGGTGGGGGATGATAGGCACTTCTAAACATTCTCCCCAAATTTTCAGGTTCTTTATGATGGTATATATTGAAGGGTGCATAGAAAGGTGTGTATGCATGTATATATGTATGTGTGATATCACTAACATATTAAAATAAATGCAACTGCAGCCATTGAGCATACTGTATCGATCCTTCCAGTGGCTTGGGAATGAATTTGATTCTAGAAATGAAAGAAAAGATTAATGAGGCTGTTAGTCTGCTTTTGAATTAGAGCGCTTCTTCCTTTGGCTGCAGTAAGGTTGTTTTTCAGATCCTTTTATTTCATCCTCTGATTTGTGAACTCCCAGGTTTTTCCGGCACCTAGAGAGAATCCTCTTTCTCCATATCAATACAGATACTCTCTCACACACAATGAGCTTCCTCTAAGAACTGGGAGAGTCAGTTGACCTCCCCTGTGGTTAAGAATATATATGTATGTGTCCCCCCCCCTTCTCCGTTCCTTAAAAAACTGTCAAGGTATGCATTACTGGAGGAGGGCAGAAAAAGAGGGTGAAGAAATATTTTCTGATATATGTAATATTAATTAATAAAATAATCAGATCCAACCGAGTCACATAAAAATGCTTTTCTAACCCATGAGCTTGTGGATGGTTACAAAGCACTATTCTTGATCTTGAAATCCCAGAATTATTTCACAAATGATTGAAGATTTGGCAGATTACTGAGACTACTTTAAAAAAGAGAGAGGATATTGAATAATATGCTACCTTAGAATGATTTTAAAGAGCACCTTTCATTGGGCTTGGCATAGGAGTAGACAAGATATGGCTGGTGACTGCTGATGGTGTGGGATGTATCAGCCATAATAAATAAGCAACTGAGATTTTTATTTCCTTTTGCTAGTGGGCAGTGTGTGTGTGTGTGTGTGTGTGTGTGTGTGTTGAAAGAGACCAGTCATCAATTTCATCTGGGGAGGAACTTGAAGTGGGATCCCCTAGCTTGGTGGCTCTCAGCTGACACCTGTAGGGATTGCTCTGTACTGAAGAGAAATGCTCTCAGCTCCCTCCATGGAGGAGCAGCAGCACAATGCGGTGCCATAAATTACTGCTAGTTTCAGCTTGTAGGGAAAAAAGAAAGTGTTAATTGGATAGTGAGCTTTTGTGTCCAGGCAATAAATTGTGTGTGTGTGTGTGTGTGTGTGTGTGCGCGCGCATGTGTGTGTTTGTGTGTTGGGGGGGCATACACATGTGTTTGCTCAACATGACCAGATTATATATTTGTGATTTTGGGGGTCAAAATATGAGAGTAATATTTTTTGGTTAAAAAATGACTTTAAAACAACTCACTTTTTATGATTTCTGTACCATTTCAAGAATCTGTCAGATTAGAGTTGAATAAAATCAAGTGATTTAACAGTATAGTGAGTAATTCAAAGATATGATTTTAAATTCTAATATCTTAGAGCCATATCAGCTAAGGTAATACACATGCCAACTGCTGTTCTGACCACACAAATTCTGAGCTGACAGCCAGATAAGTACTTGAAGAGGAGTTAAGATCACTACATAGCTAGGCAAAATATTAAATACTTTTCACATCTGTAGAGGAGTTAGTAATATGGCAATTGAGTCACAATGCTGCCAAAAATAAGTATCTAACTCCAGCTAGATGTTTTCTCTTATAATAGATTGTTCCTTTACTATAAAGGAGAAAAATACTTGTTTGAAATTTTAAAAGGACTCCCAAGAAACCATCAGTATTCCTTCTCTCTCTGAGAAAAATAAAATGGTAGGAATGATATACTCATCCAAGGCGGCAGCTTCCAGTGGATAGTTTCATCTGCTTTGCCTGCTGTAAAATCAGCTATTGACTGAGATTTGAATAGGTTGTATTTTTCATGTTCATGTAAGGGCCTTTTCCCTCCCCTCCTTTATATATTTTTAAAATTAAACTTTCTTAGAAACAGTAAGAAGTAACCAAATCTTAATGAAAACCTGGGAGGGTTACCTATTAACAGATATAATAAACTACAAGGGTGTAATGGATGATTGTAAGAGTGTGATATTAACTATTAGGATACATTAGGTCTTGTAGATCAGGACAAATAAGCTCCTTCCAATAAGGTTAACTCTGGCTTACTAACAGCAGTAGTTATATACCTAGTTTCTGAGCTGAATAATGATTTATATGCTACTATGAATGACTTCAGAACTTTATTTTAATTTTCTGCAGATTTCTGGGTCCTTATTAAAAGACAAAATAAAACCACAATGCATCACCAACACACAACCAATTGATATGCTGGCATCTTAGCTTGGCTTTGCAGAGGTGGAGAGAAAAGAAGAGGAGCTGTTGTGATTCCTACATCTAACAGCTTCCGGCTACTTCACAGCTCTAGGTTTGAACCCTACTGTGGGGAGGGGAAAGAGAAGTATAATCCAGCCCATGAGGCCATGCATAAGGAATTCTGCTCTGGCTCCAGTGGTGCAGGAAGTCCATGATATGACAGAAGAAGCAGGCCTTTGAAACTCCTCTGGGGTTGATGAGTGGTGCTCTCAGGAGACAAGGAACCCCTTTCTCCCTCCTGGTTTGGGACACTACGTCTGGAGAGGGCGTTCACAAACACCCAAGGATTCTGGTTCATTGCTGGCTCCTTGTACTTCTCTGAGAAGTGTTTACTGCTTACCTGAATCTAACTGCTTCCCTTTTGCCTGGCACCACTGAGGGTACCTGGCAGATGATGATATCTGAGGAGTGAAGCATCTGTTGACACCACCGATGCCCTTGAACTAGTTCATCTGACGCAAATGGATGAGTGAGTTCCCTTGACCTTCTCTTGACGCCTTTTCCAGAACGTTGCTTCCAAAGTGTCTCCTCCCTTTGGTCTGGAAGTTTTGTGGCTGCCCTGCACCACTTGGGTCTACGTTTTCCAGTTGGGAGGGGACTATAAGGAGAGAGGGAGGGGTTGCTGGAAGAAGAAGAAGAAAAAAAGAGCTAGATAAAGGAGGGTGTATCCCTCCCACTCTTGCCCATCTCCCTACCCTACTGACTCCGGGACCCTTATTTCTGCATCACGGTGTCCAGGACGATTTTGACCCTGTCGGCCCCGGCACCCCCCCGCCGCCCCCCAGCCCCGAGCATGGGGTCGGCGCTGCTCCAGCGCGGGGGCTGCTTTCTCCTGTGCCTCTCGCTGCTGCTGCTGGGCTGCTGGGCGGAGCTGGGCAGCGGGCTGGAGTTCCCGGGCGCCGAGGGCCAGTGGACGCGCTTCCCCAAGTGGAACGCCTGCTGCGAGAGCGAGATGAGCTTCCAGCTGAAGACGCGCAGCGCGCGCGGCCTCGTGCTCTACTTCGACGACGAGGGCTTCTGCGACTTCCTGGAGCTCATCCTGACGCGCGGCGGCCGCCTGCAGCTCAGCTTCTCCATCTTCTGCGCCGAGCCCGCCACGCTGCTGGCCGACACGCCGGTCAACGACGGCGCCTGGCACAGCGTGCTCATCCGCCGCCAGTTCCGCAACACCACGCTCTTCATCGACCAGGCCGAGGCCAAGTGGGTGGAGGTCAAGTCCAAGCGGAGGGACATGACGGTGTTCAGCGGCCTGTTCGTCGGCGGGCTGCCCCCCGAACTGCGCGCGGCGGCGCTCAAGCTCACCCTGGCCTCGGTGCGGGAGCGGGAGCCCTTCAAGGGCTGGATTCGCGACGTGCGGGTCAACTCCACGCAGGCGCTGCCGGTGGACAGCGGCGAGGTGAAGCTGGACGACGAGCCGCCCAGCAGCGGCGGCGGGAGCCCGTGCGAGGCGGGCGAGGAGGGCGAGGGTGGCGTGTGCCTCAACGGGGGCGTGTGCTCCGTGGTGGACGACCAGGCGGTGTGCGACTGCTCGCGAACCGGCTTCCACGGCAAGGACTGCAGCCAAGGTAAGGCCCGCCGCCCGACCACCCTCCGGGGCCTCGGCCTGGCCAGGGCGGGGGAGGCAGGGCCGGCATCGGGGCTGGGCCGGTGCATGGGGGCTTCCTTCTCTCGACAGTGTTTCACATAGTTTCTGGGTGAAGACCTGTTTCGGGCCTCTCCGCCTCCTCACCTTCACAGCTCCTCCCTTGGCACCCTCTTAGTGGTGGAGCAGCCACTTTCCTCCTGGGGAGCCCTTTCTACCAGCCCTGCTACGACCACGTGGCAAGTAGGGTGCCCTGTGGTCCTCATTCCGTGGACCCTTGGCCAGGCTGCTCCCTGCCTTCACTGGGTCATGGCCCACCTGAGTTGTGCTTTCCTCTGCCACCTTTAAGCCAGTGACGCACAGATTCCCCCCATTAGATGCAAACAGGCATCAAGATTGGGCGCACAGTCCGTGAAGAATGAAGCGCAGAACAGGTTCACCGTGGTCGGGCATCTCCAGGTAGTTACTCTTGGTTGAGGACAGGGAGGCAGGATTCATGGGCACTGCTGAGCCTTTTACAAGTAAAGGGAAGTCCTGCTCCTGTTTGTGGGAAAACGGAGGAGAGGGTATGTGAAGATTTTCTATGGTTATGACCGAGTCCAACATTTGTCAATTTAAGTAAAATTATGTGATTTCCGTGGTTTCTTAAGTGGGAGACAGGCCAGCTAATGTTTAGAAATGCTAGAGATTAAATAGAATTTCTCTATTAGCAGATGCTTTGGGAAAATAAATCGTAGAGAAATGTAGATGTTGTTGGACTGGGAAGCTAATAAACAGGAGATGCATATGAAAGACTGCAAGAGATTATCTGAGGATCTTCAGCTAAGGATATTTATCTGAGTAGTGGAGGCCACGTTGTAATTTCTGTTGTTCTCAGAGATTGAAACTGTGGAATTTAAAATAAAATCATATCTAAATTTTATTTTCTCCCCTTTATACATTCAGTCATTAGTGTTTCTCCAGTGTTACTACATGACAATGATCAAGGAAAAAAATTGTATAAATACAGAAAAGCCTATGAACAGAAAGTGAATGATATGAAAACAATGAAACATGGATATATCTGTGGCTGACCAGGAGGCAAGATGTCAGTCAGGGTTTCAAGTAGATAGCTCATGGGTCAAATCAAAGCAATCAATACATGGATAAATGGTATTTATGGCTAAAATTTAAAAAGAGGTGAATTATTAAATCTGGTTTTGAAAGCTTTAGGGACTAAGCTCTATGTATGGCTGTATATTATTGTACAATGTCTTCTGTTTTTTGTTTTTTGCTGACACTGCTAAGGGGAACTAGCCCTTGTAAATCTCATTAGACTTGGCAGTTTTCTCTCACTTGACTAAGAAAAATGAAGGCTTGATGCAATTTGTAGTTGTTTAAACAGCAAAGGGAGATAGCAAGAAAAAAGCTGGTGATTAGGAGAGTTCATGGGTTTATGAAAAAAGTAAAGGGTGATTTTCTTGCCCTGTCTTCATGAGAGCTTTTGTTTTCATAATTTTTGACTTAAGTCATTACAGAAGACTGTATATTCCATGGCTTATACTGCATTTCAGCTTGGCCAGTAAATTTCCATGGACTTAGCATCAGGCTTTGTAGTTATGTTTGAAATAAATAAAATAGTACATGTTTCGCTCTACCAAATCTGACTTAATTGTAAATCACAAATAAGGTAACTACATGTGATGATTTGCAATAATATAATTTGAAGTTGCATACCTCTACACCGATTAATAGAAATGAATAAAATGAACATTATTTTATGGCAAAAATTGCTCTAAGTATCCCAGTGCCACTTTAAAATACAGAGCAGTACATTTAATGAAGGACACATGAGGTATAACTTCCTTTCTTAAATTAGGAGACAAATATGACACAGCTTGTTCTCTGTGGGAGGGTGTTTTAAATGAAAATTTTAATGTTTCCATATATTTTTAACATAGGGAATCCAAGGATCATGCATAATCAGTAGTTAAGAGTGGAGAAAGCATGGCAACAGTCATATGTTGAAGAGAAGCAGAATCAGATGTCTCTGAAATGCATTTTATGTTGCAAGTGGATAGCTCTTTCCATAAAATGAAGAATTTGGAATTACCAAGCTGTATAACTGAACAGTATAGTACCTGATGCATAAGGTCATTCAACCCAGAAAAGAAAATCCATCAGGATTGTTCTGGAGCATTGATTCATTTTGAAAATTTAAGCTTAAACCAGAGCGCAAAGATCACCACTAGACATGAAAAGAAAACAAAAGGCTGGATTCCTTTGATTATCACATGAATGGGAGATGGAGTGATAAAGGCAGAGTCTTTCTTCCCAAAAGAATTGGCTCCATTTTGATTATTTTCTCTGTTTCATGTGTGTCAAGTAATGATTAAATAATTAATTGAGAATTGATGCCTCTCTCAACACCAATCATCTATTGATGGCTAGGGATAGATGATTTCTATTCAGATGAGGCATAAACAAAGCCCTGCCTCTAGCCAGTATTCACACTGATATTTATCTGATTGCCACATTCTTTTAAAAAACTAATTTAAATAAGATGAATGCACATTCATTAGAGAAACTTTATTTAAAAAAACAATAAAATTTAAATAATGCCTTGTCGTAACTATAATTTTTTAACTTAATAAAAGTGTCTAATATTACTTTAGTTGCTTTCATATTCAAAATACTGTAAAATTATTAAAACAACAGTAAGACAATCCTCTCCCCCCCAGCCTAGAATGTCTTGAAACGATATATACACCTGTGAGTTTCCAGAATGTTTTTATTTAATGAATTCACTTTTATCCTTACTCTATTTTTCTTCAGGCCTAGCAAGTTTTATTTATTTATTTATGTAGTAATGGAAAGAGAACAAAAGAGAGGTTATATGTCACGGACAAGTTAGTGGTGTAGCCTGGATGAGAGCACACAAACACTTATGCTCGAGCCCTATATTATCATGTCTGCTGAATAAGATTTCCAGCTTATTAAGGTTCATATTTTTTCAGGATCAGTATTAATCAAGAGGAATACACACACACACACACACACACACACACACACACACACATACATATATATATATACACACACACATACACATACATACATACATACATACATACGGCTGGTGGAACAGAACTGACTTATGCATCAGTTCCATTTTTGACCCTGAGAGTTAGCCCTAGAACTGAACTATCTCAGAAGGTCATCTTTCCCAAATGATTGATGCTTATGGGGTACGGATCTTTTTTAGAGAATCATACTTATCTAAGTGGCCTGGGGCCATTATTATTTAATAAGTTTCTACTTAAGAGGACTAATAGTTCTCTAGCAGCTAAAAAGAATTAGTGAATTCCATGGCTATCCAGTTTGAAAATGAGAATAAAAGGCTGATCAATGAGAAATTAAGTTAAACTTTATATGATTTCCAGGTCCAGTTTTCATGTATTTCAAGGTCATTTATATTAAAATTCCATACTAGATTCTGAGTCTACCTTTTGTTTATATTCCCTATTTAAATGGCCATAAACACATGTCTTGTGATGGTTGATTGCTTAATATTAATAAACTTAGCAGTGTGATAGATATTATTTAATAAATCCCTGTTTTCTATGACTTCTCTAACAGAACCAGATAGACAACCATAGTCACTCATTTAAATACTCATTCATTTCTTTATTTAACAAATATTGAGGGCTTTGTGTGGGTCCGAGTACTAGACTGGGGCAGTCAAATGTAGACTCTCTGAAATGGTTCCTTTCTTCACAGACTCTGCATTCCAGTGAGGAGGCACAATGATTAAACAAATAAACAAAAGAAATGGTAGTGTGTGTTTTAGAGGACTGGTGTACGGTACGGTGACAATTTAAAACAGCATGAACTGACCCAATCCAAGCAGGATTTCCTAAAGAGTGCTGTTTAAACTAAAATCTGAGAGATGAGAAGGAATTCACTAGGTAGGGAAGAGGAGAAGTATTAGGTACAGAATGCTGGTGCAGAAGGTGGCATGGCACATTCTAGTACTTGAGAGGAGTTTCTTGAGCATGGGGCTCTTAGAGAAAGGAGCAGGACCAGATCATGCAGGGCCTTCTAGACCTTGTAGGGATTTGAATCTTTGATGTAAACGTGGTAGAAAAGCACTGGATGGAGTTTAGTGCGGAAGGTTAGGAGGAGGATGCCATTATTAAATTTATATTTCAAAAGTGTCCCTCTGGCTACAGTGTAGAGAGCAGAGTGATAGGGGGCCAGAGGAAAAGGAGAAGACATTATTTTCTGTTTGTCAGTCAACAACATTTGTTAAGCACCCACTGTAAGCTGTAGCGAGAACTAGGGCACACAGAGAAAAACAAGATTCTTTTCTCTAAGGAAGTTAGAATCTTTGTGAGTTTACTTATGCGTAGACATCTAAGGCCATCTGTTGTTTGGAACCCTTTGGTTCTACCTGTGAAAACCAAAGCATTGTCTGAACCCTGTATGTGATTGGTCATGAGGTTTTTCTCAGATATACCCATTGACTCTAAAGGTTCTGGAGCCCATTGGCAATGGCAGGTTCCTTGCCAAACATCTTTTTTATGACAGTGTATATTGGTTGATTGAGTCTAAGCTTTCCATACTTTAACTGCACAATTAAAGAAAATATTACATAGATACTTATAATCTTTGTAAGGTTAAAAAAATAAGCATTTTCTATATAGGTAGGTATTGGAAAAAAAATAATTCAGAGATTCTACCAGAGTTTTGTTTGCAGTCTATCAGTGTAGGACAAGTTGGAACATCTGTGCTGAAAAAGCTTGGAGTGGAATGGAGAAATCCATAAATAATTTTGATCTAGATAAAATGTTCTGGGAAGCTCTTAAAGTATGACAATGAAAGACCTCTATCTGGTCTAGTAAAAAAAAAAGCTTGACTATAAATTAATAATCAAAATTGAGTTATGTTCTAGAAGGCCAGGAATGAGGTAGAATGTATTTTTTGAGATTTTGTTTAACTGTT